CTCTCCCTGGGGGTCCAGTGGCTGCCGGTCGGGCTGATGGGGTGGCTGCTGGTGAGGGAGCACTTCCTCTGAGCGGTCTGCTCAGCTCCCTCGCACGCCGCAGAGTGAGGCTGGGAGCCGGAATATGACGTCATCTTCCGGCTCCCAGCCTCACTCTGCGGCGCGCGAGGGAGCTGAGCAGACCACTCACAGGAAGAGCTCCCTCGCCAGACGCCCGCCCGACCACCAGCCAGCGCCGCCCGCCAGCCCAGCATGTCAGTTAGCCGCAAGGCTAACTAGGCATTTGCCCTGGGCATTTGGGGGCAGCGTTTTTTGCCGCCCCCTGAAAAATGCCACCCAAGGCAAATGTCTTGTTTGCCTCGCGGCTAATACGTTTGTGCCCCTGCCCTGTCCCTCAGTGCTTTCTCCTCCCTTTGCTTTCTCCTCCCTTCCTATCCCTTAGTGCTCTCCCCTCCCTTCCTGTCCCTTAGTGCTCTCACCTGTCCTCCATCCCTTAGTGATCTTCCCTGCCCACTGTCCCTTAGTACTGTCCCCTGTCCTACCGTCTCATAGTGATCTTCCCTGGCCCCCTGTTCCTTATTGATCTCCCCTGCCCCCTGTCCCTTAGTGGTCTCCCATGCCCCCCTGTCCCTTAGTGGTCTCCCATGCCACCTGTCCCTTAGTGATCTCCTCCTAGTGATCTCCTCTGCCACCCTGTCCCTTAGTGATCTCCCCTGCCCCCTGGTGCTCTCCCTCCTTCCTTTAAAGGAACACTCTCGGCACCCAGACCACTTCAGCTTAATGAAGTGGTCTGGGTGCCAGGTCCCTCTAGGATTAACCCCTTTTTTTATAAACATAGCAGTTTCAGAGAAACTGCTATGTTTATAAATGGGTTAATCCAGCCTCCAAATCCTCTAGTGGCTGTCTCATTGACAGTCGCTAGAGGCGCTTGCGTGCTTCTCACTGTGAAAATCACAGTGAGAACACGCAAGCGTCCATAGGAAAGCATTGTAAATGCTTTCCTATGAGACCGGCTGAATGCGCGCGCAGCTCTTGCCGCGCATGCGCATTCAGCCAAAGAGGAGGATCGGAGGCGGAGAAGAGGAGGAGAGCTCCCCGCCCGGCGCTGGAATAAAGGTAAGTTTAACCCCTTTCCTCGCCATCCAGCCCAGCGGGAGGGGGTCCCTGAGGGTGGGGGCACCCTCAGGGCACTATAGTGCCAGGAAAACGAGTATGTTTTCCTGGCACTATAGTGGTCCTTTAATATGAACATTATGTGACATTTAAAGAGCTTAAAAGACCACTCTGGGCATTGTAACATCTCCACCACAATAAACTTGTAATGGTGCAAGGAGTTCCTAGGTACCATCTGACCTTAAGAAGTAAAACCATTAATAAATGAGTTAACCCCAGAGTCCCGAAGACGGAGGCTGATCACTCTCACTTCCACTTCCTATGTAGGCCAAGGATCAATCAAGAGATCCTGGAGCGGGAACCTCTGGTATGCTGACATCGTGAGCTGATGCTTTTAGCTTATCACTACCTCTCATTCAGAAAATAACTTTCTGAAGACAAAGGGGAAAAGTGGGGTTAAGATACAGTAAAGTGGGTAAAACAACAAAATATCTGATTAGAAACACAAAAGGGGATAGGAAATTCAAAAGGGGAGTTAAGAGAAACACAGGTGAAAAAGGTACACGTGTCTTTTTCAATCACTTTTCTGAAAGAGGAGCTACCTGCATAGAAGTAGAAGGTCAGAGCGATTAGACATTCTCTTACAGAGTTTGGGATAAACTGTATGTTAATGGTTTAACCCCTGAAGGTAAGATGGCACATTGGACCTCCCCACACTACAACAGCTTCATTGATGTTGTTATGGTACCTGGATTATCCCTATAATAATAGAAACAGACCAAACTTTGTCTTAAATCCTACTTGTAGCGCTATGCCTACATACACTGTTGTAACTTCATTTATTAAAGGGATACTGTACTCACCAAAAACAACTTGAGCTTAATGAAGCAGTTTTGGTACATAGATTATGCTTCTGTTTCACTCCCAAATTCACTGCCATTTAGGAGTTAGATCCCTTTGTTTGTGTTTATGCAGCCCTAGTCACCTCCTTTGGCTGTGACTGACACAGCCTGCATGAAAACAAAATGGTTTCATTTTCAATCAGGTGTAACTTATTTTAAAAGATTTTATCTCCTACTTTGTAAATTGAACTTGAATAACATACAAGAGGCTCATGAAGATTCTAGCAAGTTATTAACAGTGCAGGAGAAAAGACATTCTTAACCCCTTCAGGACGGAGTCAATAGTACACGTTCTGATCAAAACAAAACGTAAACAAAAACTGGAATTTGCGCTATATGTCTGTTCAACCGTAATTCACCGCTGCCACATTAAGTGCACCCACACTTATTATATATCATTTTGTTCAGGAGAAACAGGGCTTTAATTTATCATTAACTATTCATATATGGAACATAATTTAATATGAATACAATTTTTAAAAACTTGAGAAAATAAGATTTTTTTTTAAATTTGTATTTCCATTTGACATTTTAGCTGTTAATGTCATAATACTGTTAGGTTTTACTGCAAAAAATGCCTATATTTGTAATCAGCGATGTCTCACGAGTACAACAGTACCCCCCATTAACAGGTTTTATGGTGTTTTGGAAAGTTACAGGGTCAAATATAGAACATTCCATTTTCAAATTGAAATTTGCCAGATTAGTAATGTTACCTTTGAGACTGTGTGGTAGCCCAGGACTGAGAATTACCCCCATAATGGCAACCATTTTAAAAAAGTAGACAACCCAAGGTATTGAACGTGGGGTATGTTTAGTCTTTTTTAGTAACCACTTAGTCACAAACACTGGCCAAAGTTAGCGTTCATATTTGTTTTTTGTTTGAAAAAAGCAAAAAACTAATATTTGGCCAGTGTTTGTGACTAAGTGGCTACTAAAAATGACTGGACATACCCCATTTGCAATACCTTAGGTTGTCTACTTTTGCAAATGGTATGCCATCATGGGGGTAATTCTTATCCCTGGGCTACCATACGGTCTCAAAGGCAACATAACCAATATGTCAAACTTCAATGTCAAAAAAATGAAATGCAAGCCTTATATGTGACTCTCTAACTTTCCAAAACACAATAAAACCTGTACATGGGGGGTATTGTTATTCTTGGGAGACGTCACTAAACACAACTATTAGTGTTTTAAAACAGTAAAACATATTACAACAATAATATAGTCCATAAAAGTGCCGTTTGTTTGTATAAAATGCTAAAAAGTCACTTTTACTTAAAATATAATCGTTGCAATACAATTTACCAGTTTGAAACACTAATATTTGAGTTCAGCAAAGTCTCCTGAGTAAAACAGTACCCCCTATGTACAGGTTTTATGGTGTCTTGGAGAGTTACAGGGTCAAATATAGTGCTTGCAAATTAAATTCTCTGCACTTTCTCCCTGTGTTGTCAGGCATGTCAATCAAATTTTAATTAATCAAATCACATAATTATGTTAAAAGATTACTTAAATATACACATAGAATTTGAATATATATGCATTTATAGGTATTTAAATTCTACGTGTATACTAATGTAATCTTTTATTTAATTATATGTATTTATCTATATATATATATATATATATATATATATTTGCGGCTATTTTTATTTTATATATATAGATAGATATATATATAGAATGTCATTCTAAGTGTATTTTGTTACCAATATATATATATATATATATATATATATATATATATATATATATATTAATAACAAAATACAGTTAGAATGAAATTACATATGAATATATAATTTATATTAAATTTTGTTTCAATATTTTATTTATTTATTTTATTATTTTATTTATTTATTATTGTAATTATACGTGTATATACATATAATATGTGTATATATTTATTATATATATAATATATATACATATTATATATATGTAACGTCACTCTAAGTGTATTTTAATATTAATATATATACTAATATTAGTATTAAAATACACAACATATGATGTTACATATATATAATATGTATATATATTATATATATATACATATATTATATATATATATATATATATATAAATACTTTTAATTTATTTTTAATTTAATTTAATTTATTTTAATTTATTTTTTTACTACTTCCCACCAGCAGGGGGACTGTCTGATATTTCAGACAATCCCCCTGCTAGCTGATCCACAGCCAGCTATAGGGGGCCATGTGATCGCTCTTTGAGAGCGATCACATGGCCCCCGGGGGCCTCATTTGCAGGAGGAGGGCTGCCTGGGCGGTCAGGGAGCCCTCCAGAAGTGGATCGCAGCGGAGGTAAGTACCTCCTATCCCCTGGGGCTGCAAAGTCCTTTAAAGCCGCGACGGCATAGAACGCCGTAATGGCGTTAAGGGGTTAATTAAACAGCGTTTGCCTTAAAGGAAGTGTAAACATTAGATGGCTCTTTAAAGGAAATGTCCCTTTAAAGTATGATGTAAAGTATTGTGACACATATTTCTAATTTAATTTAGATTTTTTTTTTCACCTTATATCTGCTCTTTTCCTAAAACCTCTCAAGTTTAAATCCTAATAAAGGTTAGTGACAAACAATTCATACTTTAGTGGTTCTGCTGGAGTTGACATTGTATTAGTGGAATTAAATAAACTGATTGAATGCCACTTTCACAAGCTAATGGTACCATCTGACAGCCTCCAAGATATTGAACAAGTAGTTTTATTTATGTATTTAAATTAAGACATTGAATGCTATGTTGGCCATATAAGATTAGCATGCTTGCTAATTGTCTTGAATGCACTTGAAGTTCAATGGTTTGGTGAAAGGTTTTAGCCAGTTCCCTTTTTCAACAAACATTAGTGAAGGAGAGTAATTTCCCAGGAATAAACTTGCAAAATGGAAAAAATCACCTTGGTGTTTCCTTTCAAAGTACATTTACAGCAAGAGATATTATTTAAACCTCTGTTTTCTTTTTTCATTCACAGATTCCGTTACTAGGCCTGAAAAAGAAGAATTATGAATTGGGGTGTGTATGAAGCCTTGTTAACAGGTGTCAACAAGTTCTCAACTGAATTTGGGCGTCTGTGGCTCTCCATTGTGTTCATCTTTAGGATCCTTATATATGCAGTCACCGCAACACGAGTCTGGGGAGATGATCAGAAAGACTTTGATTGTAACACTCGCCAGCCAGGATGCGCTAATGTCTGCTATGACCAGTACTTTCCTATCTCACATATCCGACTTTGGGCTCTCCAGCTTATTATGGTCACATGCCCTTCTCTCCTGGTCGTTATGCATGTTGCGTATAGAGAAAATCGAGAGAGGAAGCGCAAGGAACAATTAGGAGAGAAATGTGATAAACTTTACAAAGACATTGGCAAGAAAAGAGGAGGGCTATGGTGGACATATCTTGTCAGTCTTTTGGTTAAGGCTGTGATAGACACCGCATTTATCTATATCTTTTATCAACTATATGAAAATATTTTTCTACCTAGTGTAGTGAAATGCTCTCTCTCCCCTTGCCCTAATATTGTGGACTGTTTCATATCAAGGCCATCTGAAAAAAATATATTTACTGTGTTTATGATCGCTGCTTCTGCAGTATGTGTCCTTTTAAACATCATTGAGGTCTTCTACCTTATTGGAAAAAAATGCAAAGAAGCAATACACGGCCCTAGGCAAACGAATTTGCAAGAGAAAACTGAAGCAATTGAACTTACCAGCTGTTGCGCTGATGAAAAGAATAAATCTACAACATGCAGTGGAGATATTTGTCATGTGACTAATTGTAAGACTTTGATGACTGATGTTAAAACTACTAACAGCAACCAGAACATTCAAAGTTCTGGATGACACATTATCAGGGTTGTATAGAACAGCATTCCTGATAAAGGCTCAGGAAAATAAATAGCATGAATATTGTCAAAGTAGTTGAGCTATGGACAATGCTACTTTGAAGGATAAGGAAGAACAACCTATTTAAATATTCACTAAGAGTTGTCTCTGCCACCACAAGGAAGTAGTCTACCCTCTGTGCAATCCAGAAGTAGTGTATATATTTAAATATGATGGACAGTTTGTAAAAACTTTGAAATGGTTTGTAATGGACAATTTGTATCATGTCTGTTTGTAATGGACAATTTGTATCATGTCTGTTTTTAAGACACCCTTATTACCTTTACAAATGCATATTTGCAGATGGTCAATACTTATGGTCAAATATGATTTATGACCATATCTTTAAGAATACCTAAACAATTATCTTTTGATACAGCTATAAATACTTTAAAAATAATTTTACATTGCTAGCACACAACATAAAGAAAATGTTGTAGATTAGAGATGTTATGCTTTAAAAGTTGAATTGAATTAGTTGAGTTTAAAAACAGGTCTCCATTTTAGCTATTTTTCCCGTTAACAGGAAGCTTCCATTTACCAACTGTGAAATTTCACTAAGTAACACAGAGTTACCTGCTGCTGTCATTTAAAGGAACACTCCAAGCACCATAAGCACTACATGTCATAGTGGTTATGATGTCCTAAACCTTTTTAGAACTATTTGACTTCTAACCTGGCACCCACTGTGTGTTGCTCTCTGCCTCCAGAGTAGGGCTGCCAACAGACCTTTTGAGGCCTCTCCCAGCGTTCACCCACTGGGCCTACCACCAAGAATGCAGTGTTTGTGTGTGTGTGTTAAGTGGATGCAAAATGTGTATATGTCTCATGGATGCAGTGTATGTGCTTGAGTAGTGGATGCACTGTGTGTGTGTGTTTGTGTAGTGGATGCAATGTGTGTGTTGGTTCAGTGGATACAGTATGAATAGTCGATGCAGTGTGTGTATAGTTGATGTAGGGTGTGGGGTATTACACTCCCTGGTGGTCCAGTGTCATTGAGCAGGCTGCTAGGTGCTGTGTTGTGAAGAAAAGGCCTAGAACAGCGATCTTAACTCTTTCGAGTCCAGTCCACGTGTCATGTGCCCCCCACAGTTATGCACACACACAAGCACATTGACGCAGTCACACATACACACACACACATTCACTCACAGTTACATTCACACACTCACAGTGCAAAACTTTTATTTTATCCCGTTAAAAAAACCTATAGATCTGTAATTTGAATCTAAATAACTTAAATAATATAACATTTTAAAAATTGAAAAAAATAGCAAATATTAATTCTTAAGAAAAAAATGTGATAATTCAAGATGAAGAATTAAGAACATAAGAATGATACATACACAGCTCTAGTTTGACAATAAATAAAGATATTCCTCTAAAATAAATGATACTTTTGTAAAGCAATTTGTGCAACAATTGTCAAAGGAAAAGTGTGTAACAAATGGTAAACTGGGATATATGTGTAACGAGAGCTGTGTATCATCAAAGTATAGAACACCCATCACCCTCAACCTGCTGAAGCTAAATCCTACAAATGCTGTAGGATAGGTATTTGTAGTAGATTGTTCACCAGTATTTGCAGTAAGGAAATCTGCATTAATCATACATAAACACATTGCTTGTACTGTCTGTATTATATACCATATATAATACACTTATGTAAGGCAAATTATATCTAAAGGTATGGTCTCTCAGTTACACAGGATCGTGCACTGCTTAGCAAAATGATAATAATATAAAACGTATTGGGCTAAATTCTGTACAACTCACAGCCTTCGAGGGCACCCCACTAAAGGGCAATCTACCTTAAAGACCTATCCTCTATAGCAGGGGTTCCCAATCCAGTTCTCAAGTACCGCTTACCAGTCAAGGGTTTAGGGATTACCCTGTTGTGTCTAAAGTGTTGTTTGTTTGTTTTCCTAAAAACACCTTAGACACAACAGGGTAATCTCTACATCCTGGACTGTTAGGGGGTACTTGAGGACTGGGTTGGGAACCACTGTTTTATAGCATTGATAAGATATAGCTTCAGTAGATTGAGGCTGATGGGTGTCACAGCTGTGTTTTTCAGTGCTTTACCAGCAAGTGGCTAATCTGCAATCTGTATTTTGGTCAATACAGCAGCACCATTCCTTCAAAATGCATGTTCCGGGTGTGACCCCAATTTACTTTTGTCTTTACTATTCAAGTTTGGAAACTAGACCAGATTACTTTTGGGTTGAACACCCCACCCAGCACCCCAGCTTCAGATGCCTCTTATTTAGGTATATATTTGAGGTGGTTTTGGATAGTAATGGCACTTTTATTATAAGTTTCATAGAGCAGATATATGCTATGCATTGTACATCAAAGCACTATTACTTTAATTGTTTAGTTTTGACACTGCATTATTTTGAATTTTGTTTATCACATTTATTTTGCATTATATATTTGAGGATAAATATTAAAAATAATATTTTCATAAAAATTATAAGAATTTAATTTAATAATTTTTATTATATCAAAAATTGATATCTTGGCACTGTTTCCCCTGAATAATGATATAAAGCTGAGAATTACTCACGATTTTCAATTCTCTTAGATTCTAGAGGAAGTTTCACTAGAGGATTTTAACTTCACACAGTAATCACAAATTAATTATAAAAATATAATTTATTGTGACAATAATAAGAAAAATAATAATAATAAGTAACATGCGTGACAATCAGTGAATAATTACTATAACATAATTATACAATATGTGAATAGTTTAAACAGAGTATAGGCAGCTAAAAGCAACCAGTTGTCAACAAGATTTATGATAGGACCCTGTTTAGATATCACTTAAAAAACAAATTCTATATATACACAGTACTCTTAACCAGGAAGAAATCTGGGGAAGAGTACAGAAGGGTTACAGGGGTACTAAAATGGCTTAACCCTAGAACATACAAGAAATAAAGAAAAATGAGGGAAAACTACTCCTCTATACAGAGAGGAAGCCAATCCCATCAAAACCAGTACCCCCTTAAGAGCAATATATAAAAACTTGCAAAAAACTGTATCTCAGACACAGCTCAAAAAAATAATAAAGTTTTATTAATAGTAAATAAATGTTAAAAATATACACCAAGTGTCTATAAACTGCTTAACCTATAGCTAAATGTGGATAAATACTGAGGGATACAGAGTTGCTAAGCTCAAAGAGCTCGCAACAAAGTTACGATAAATGCAACTTAATACCTAATATGTAATTCAATCTAGTAAAAGAGTGATATGGTAAGGAATGTTGCAACATAAACAGCATAACAGCAGTGGATCTAACCAATCTCCAATAATCACAGCATAATAAATATATGCTGTTATAATAATCCCAATTAATCCAAATATAATGAAGTCATGATCATATATATACTGGAAAACAATATCCCCTCTATAACTACTTACTGTATCGAAAGTCCTTAAAGATCCTGTTGACTTAATAAATACTCTGATCGCTAATACTAAATCAAGACTCTATGTACCAAAAGATGAGTAAATCGAAAGGACAGGAAGATATAGATGATTGAAAATAAAGTAAGAAGTAGTATAGAGAATTCTGTATTAATCACAACTCGATATAGCTATATATAGAAGGAGACTCAGCCGACCAGAAGAGTCCCTAAATTGGTGTAGCGTGTTATAACATAACAGGCTACATATAAAGTCTGCAAAAGTGAAGAGACCCACAGCCCGACGTGCGTTTTGGCGATAATGATCGCCTTTCTCAAGGGCACGAGTAGACAAGAAAAGTCCACTCACCCCCCCTCCTCCTTTTATAACACTGGTGCCAAATCCTACTTACAATTAGTGGGATGTGTCTCAATCTAGACCGCCAATGAAGTTCAGCGGTCAGAGGTCCCAGAATCAAGTACTCGGCATAATCCGAGGAAGCAGGAATGGCAATGAATCAGAGCACAGAAAAGTCCCAAGTGAGGATGCGCATGCATATGTCGAGTTGGCCGTGCATGCGCACAGCACAATCCAATTAATTATGCAAGGGTATTAGATGAAAACTGTACAAGCCTTGTATCAGAACAATACGCATGCGTCCTCACTATTTTCACCGAACGCCCCCTATAGGTAAAAAGATGTAAAAACATGACAATAAATTGTCTGTGTATAATCGAAGCAGCTCAACATTGTCATAAATTCATTAAGGCATATCTTGCCAAATGACAATATTAGAGTTGCTCATAATGTATAAAATAACCTGGGGAATAAAGGAGAGGGAGAGGGGGAAAGAGAAACATAAATAGTAAATAATAATAACAGGCAAGTATAATTTA